TGTGGAAGGGCTGCAGTTATTTGGAGGACTGTCTTCTTCCTTATTCAATTCAGCAAATCTGTTGGGGGATTCAACTGGCATGACTTCAAGGACTTCTTTGCCCACTTCAGGGCAAGAGACTTGTTGTTTGGTTTGTAGGATCTGAGTATCAATTGGGACAGCTTCAACAAAGTTAGTATCATTAACATGAGTATCACTAGTGGGTTTGGAGTGGCTACTACTAGATGGCAGATTGCTTGTTGCATGAGGATTTATAGGATTTTGATCAACCACTTGAGGGAATGAGACCACTTCTTTCCCCTTCCAATTCCCCTCTTTTGCTGTCTTATGGCTTTTAACAGTTTGCCAAGTCTCCTTAGGTGCTGCCTGTTGGGGAGGTGCAGCCTGCTGAGAAGGTACTCTCTGCTGGGGCGATGCTTTGGAACAAGATGTTATAGAGTGTCCAAAGCCTTTGCAAGCATGGCATACCTTTGGCTTCCAAGGATATTCAACTTTAATTTCCATGAACTTTGAATCACCCAGGCTAAGATCAAAAGAATCTATAAGATCATGGGTTGCATCTATTTTAATACAAATCCTTGCGTAACTGANAAAGAATCTATAAGATCATGGGTTGCATCTATTTTAATACAAATCCTTGCGTAACTGAGTCTGTTGCATTGCTACGTTAGTTTATCAACATACAATGGTTTGCCCACTGCACTCGCAACATAGCTTAGGCCTTCATCAGTCCAATATTCCAATGGTATATTGTGTAAATGAACTCATACAGGAATCATAGTTTGAGAGACCTATGTGAGCTCCATATTTGGCTGCCATTTCTAGAGAATTAGTGGTCTGCTCATAAGAATCCATGGGGCCATCTCAAGCACTCTAGCACATTCCTGCTTAGAAGAAAACTTGAAGAAGAAGAATCCCTTGTTATTTGCCAAAACCACTATTAAACCAAGTTTGTCCTAATGCTTGTGGGCAATACCGTTAACAACTGAGTATGGAAGTTTTTTCTCCACAAAGTATCCCATGAGTGTATTTCCCCAATTACAATAGCCTTTGCAAGCAACCTCTCCAGGGGAGAAACAAGAATTCTATTTTCATTCAACTTGGGTTTCAAGCACTTTAGTTTCGTGGGGGGTGTTTATGTTACATTGGAANAATAGCCTTTGCAAGCAACCTCTCCAGGGGAGAAACAAGAATTCTATTTTCATTCAATTTGGGTTTCAAGCACTTTAGTTTCGTGGGGGGTGTTTATGTTACATTGGAGTGGAATTGGTTCCATTTGGGTTCTGAACCACTTGTGACCACGAGTTGCGTTTGTTAGGATCCAAAGTGGGTTTGCCCATCCCACTCCTTCTGGGAAAAGCAATTGTTTTGTCCTTGACTAGTAGGCATGTTCTGTTTTTCATTTTTTGAATTTTCACCATGAACAACATGGGATGAACTCGGTGCTTGACTCATAGCATTGGGCGCAATTGCTATGGCATTGCTTAGTAGCTGTGAACTGCTTTCATTAAGGATATTGTTCTTCTGATTACCAATAACAATCTCCAGATTGGTAATTGCAAAGGCTTGGTCAGCTGCAGATTTGGAAGCCGTCATTTCAAAGAATCCATATGAGGGAAGAAGAAGGGAGATGAGTTAAGAAAAAAAAACAGAGAGAGGTGAGGATGGAGGGGAATCTAGTGGTGATGGTGGTGGGTTGGGTGATTGTAGTGGTTGGTGGAGGTGAAAGTTAAGAGCTTAGTGGTGGTGTGGAAGAGTATTAGCAGTAGATCTAGTTGTGGTGGGAGATTTGGTGGTAGGCTAGGTGGATCAAGTTTTGGAGGGGGAATCTAGTTGTTGTTGTTTGGTAGAAGAGCTGGTGATCGTGGTGGAGGTGAGGATGGAGGTTTTGGTGGTGGTCCTTAACTACTGCATTTAAAATGTCNATCCCACTCCTTCTGGGAAAAGCAATTGTTTTGTCCTTGACTAGTAGGCATGTTCTGGTTTTCATTTTTTGAATTTTCACCATGAACAACGTGGGATGAACTCGGTGCTTGACTCATAGCAATGGGCGCAATTGCTATGGCATTGCTTAGTAGCTGTGAACTGCTTTCATGAAGGATATTGTTCTTCTGATTACCAATAACAATCTCCAGATTGGTAATTGCAAAGGCTTGGTCAGCTGCAGATTTGGAAGCCGCCATTTCAAAGAATCCATATGAGGGAAGAAGAAGGGAGATGAGTTAAGAAAAAAAACAGAGAGAGGTGAGGATGGAGGGGAATCTAGTGGTGATGGTGGTGGGTTGGGTGATAGTAGTGGTTGGTGGAGGTGAAAGTTAAGAGCTTAGTGGTGGTGTGGAAGAGTATTAGCAGTAGATCTAGTTGTGGTGGGGGATTTGGGGGTAGGCTAGGTGGATCAAGTTTTGGAGGGGAAATCTAGTTGTGGTTGTTTGGTAGAAGAGCTGGTGATCGTGGTGGAGGTGAGGATGGAGGGTTTGGTGGTGGTCCTTAACTACTGCATTTAAAATGTTACTAAATGTGAAATATTTAGCCACAATAGTTATTGTAGCAAGTTACAATAATTTTGCCACTACAATGTATCCTATCGCCACTAAAAGTTCGATTAAAACTTGACTTTTAGTGACAAAAATTAATCTCAACTAAAAATATACATTTTACCCACAACTAAAATACCAATGTGGGCTTGTCTGGTTGGATGAACTACTGATGCTTTGGGCTTTGTTGGAGTAACTTGATATGTTCTCTTTGCTTCATCTTGTTTCTNCACTAAAAGTTCGATTAAAACTTGACTTTTAGTGACAAAAATTAATCTCAACTAAAAGTATACATTTTACCCACTACTAAAATACCAATGTGGGCTTGTCTAGTTGGATGAACTACTGATGCTTTGGGCTTTGTTGGAGTAACTTGATATGTTCTCTTTGCTTCATCTTGTTCTTTTTGTTTCTCATCTTGTATACTTTTGTTCTTGGGATGGTATCTCTTCTTCTGTTCTGTTAAGAAGAGTTGCCATCCCTTTTGTCCTAGAAGAAGAGATGCCATCGTTTTTGTCCCTTTTCTTTTATTGATTGGTGTCAACTGTATATGAGACATACTTTTGCATACAAATCCATTTTCAGTTTAATGAAATCCTTATTTACTGGAAAAAAAATCATCACTAAAATTTGGAACATGCTAGTGACAACTTATTGTCGAGATTAAAACATTGAAATGAAAAAAAAAAACCTATAAAATATTTGAAAGAGTTTATTTTTGAGTGTTTCTCAATTTCACATACTTGTCATAGTTTAATGAATCGACAAACACTCAATTTTAAAGATATAATTTTTAAATCAAAAAACGTGAAAATAACATTCTAATAATAGTATCGTTAAATTGTACGTGTACAATGCCTCATCGTCAAAGAATAGGAATGCACAACAATTCATCATAAGGTCTCAAGCCTTAACTACATATATCTTTTTTTTGGCTGATTATTAGATTTTTCATCTTTATTCTTAGGAGACAAGTTTTACGAAGCTATTTTTAAAATTTCCATTGGTTTGTACCTTACAAAAACTTACTCAAAGTTAAAATACATTAGAATTACAAAAATAAAATCAAGATAACAAGAAACAAAAAGAGTATAACATACTTTAATATAACAATCTCGCCCAATTCCTCTTCGGCAAGGAACTCCGTCAGAGTAATCAATGCATCATTCATTGTTGGAAAAAAAAATGAAAAAATTATAATGAAATTTTCATGATTTGAAATATCCAGTAATTATAGCGAAGCTACTACACCATATATATGTATGGGTTTAAATTCAGGGATTTAGTAGAGTTAGGTGTTATTTTAATTCCATTGGATCAATTTAGACTTTAGCTAAGGGGTGACGACTCCAAATGTTTAGCCAAATGTACGTAATTATAAATTGTTTAAACCTTAAGAGATGTTATTATTGATATGATACGGTCAGAGATCCCACAACAGCAATACACGACTCCATCAATTTAGACTTTAGCTGAAGGTTGACGACTACAAATATTTATGTTAATGTACCTAAACTATAAAGATCTTAGGAGTTACTTACGTAGGATTGGACCCGGTTAGGCTCATTACACTTAAAAGACATCTTTCATTANGCCCATGCCCACTAGCTAGGTTTTGTTAGGCTCCATACCCACTTTATCTTAGGCCTTACAGCTTCCCTTTTGGGATTACATTTTCATTTTTCTATATGATAGCTCTATAGGCTTCCAGTTCCTTATGATTCACACATCCTTGTACTTTATTTTCTTTTCTTCATCCATGGCCTGTGAGGTAAATATATGGTATATGATATCCACAACCTTACTGCTATTGAATCTGGGACCATTTGTTCATGGTGAACTACAGGTCCCTTGTTACTTCATTTTCGGCGACGCATTAGTTGATAATGGCAATAACAATGGCCTTCTGACTCATGCAAAATCCAACTTTCCGCCTTATGGAATTGATTTTTCCGACGGGCAGACTGGCAGATTTACCAACGGTTGAAACATGGCGGACATTATTGGTCTCCTCTTAACTTCCCTCCACGTGATTTTACAAAACATGTTGCTTTTAAATCCAAGTTTTCAATCTTTCTCAGTCAATGTTTTCTTCTTCTATTTTTTGGTTTAATGGTCAAGGGTGTTCAAACTTGCTTACGCGTACCTCGACTAATTCTTTTCTCAGGTCCGGTCAAAGGTAAGTCATTTACACAGGGACTAGGGTGTTTATGAGGGATAAATTCCTCATGGCCTAGTCTTAAAAGATTTTTAAGATTCAAACTTAGGATGTCTAGATTTAGAGCTCGTTCATCTTATTACTTGAGCAACCCCTTGAAGTGTTTATCAATATTTTTGACCAATCTACTTTCTTACTGACATGCCTATCATAGAAAAAATAATGACTCTTATCTCACTTTGCCCACTCAACTATTGAGTTTCTCATATTGCTCCCTCAACTATTTGACCCCAAAATCAAACACTCGGCATGTTGTAGACATAAAATATCCACATGTGTGGTAAACCAAAAGTCTTCAATGTCTAATTAAATTGAGGCAGTGTGAAACAAACTCTATAGTTCGAGGTGCAATGTAAGAAATGTGCTAGTTGAAGAGGGCAATGTGCTACTTATTGGTGAATGTGCAATAGAAGAAATGTGATATTATTTTTTTTTTTCGGGGGGGAGGGGGGGGCAAAATGAGATAGGGGGCATATTTGATGGGGGCAAAAGTGTAAATTCATGTGGATTATTTTGTTCACAGCTGAGGTTTCTTGAATTTCTATGATAGTTACGCTAACACAATTCAATCTATTTAATGCAGTTTTATAGTTCATTTAAGCTGCAAATTTTCATAAAGTTTTGAGGTATGTCATTCTAACTGAACACTTAACCTTGCAGCTGAACTTCTAGGTTTTGACAGTTACATCCAACCATTTGCAACAGCAAACGGCTCAGACATCCTTAAAGGTGTGAATTACGGGTCCAGTGCGGCTGGAATTTTGGATGAAACAGGAGAACAACTGGTATGGCATTTGTGCAAGTATGTGTGACATTATGTGGGTTGGGGGGTGGGGTGGGAGATCCCAAGCCCACAGCTGAAAACCAACATAAAAACCTTTAGTCAGATCTTATGATCATGAAAAAAAAAAAAAAAAGTCTTACCTAGTGTGTAAGACTCCATCCTATTACGGATTGCATGGGGAAGGAAGTTGCATCCCTATTGGAGAGATTAATTCTAGTTATTAAAGAGATATTAATTTTAGTTATTGTGAAATACATTGATTTTAACTGTTTAATCAAGTTTAACAAAGGGTTAATTACACTTTCCCCCCACAAACTAGGAGCTTTGTATCACTTTGCCCCTCAAATGTCATGTTTATCACATTGCACATTTAACTATGCTTGTTAGTTTCACACTGGTCAAATGATTAATGTCCGTTAGAAATTTAACAAAAAGATATTTTATTTTGGACTATGAGTTTTTTTCAATTTGTCCAAACACATTGACATTTCCCATCAAAAGATAACGGATGTTTGGGTTTTGACACTTTTGAAACTAGTTCATGTAGACAAAGGAGCAATGTGAGAAATTTGGGGCGCGAAGTGACACAAGCCTCCAAGTTTGTGGGGTAAAGTGTCACTAACCCTAAAGGGAAATACATGAAAATAGATATATGTAGCATTGTTTGTAAATATTACAAACACTGAACACCAAATTCCTTTTCTTTTTTCCACACAGGTTATCGGTTCAGCCTGAATAAACAGTTACTGAATCACAAAGTCACTATTTCACACGTCGTTGTGTTACTAGAAAATAAAACTTTTGCTAAAGAATACCTAAGTAAGTGCATATATACTGTTGGAATGGGAACTAATGACTACATCAACTATTAAACGACACGAATATGTACACCAGATCAGTATGCCAGAGTCCTCATTGGCCAATAGTCGCTGCAGCTAAAGGTCAGTATCTAATTTCTACTTTAGATGCCGAGGTGAGAATGATTTTTACCAAATATAGCAATTTTGCAACTTTATTCCATATCTATCACTGATTTTTCAATGAAAAATGTGCGAAATTTTTCAAAGCAAGTAAATAACTACAAATTTGAAAAGTAAGTTAAAAACTGCTGTGGAGAGGGAATAAAGCTTGACAATCAATGCAGTCTGGAAATTGATTCTCAATTTTGAAGGGTTTGAAGGAAGATTTGACAACTATTTTCTTAATACTAGACTTCGTATGAGCTTGGAGCAAGAAAATTAGCAACTTTTAAAGTATTTATTTGCTAAACTATTGTGATTTTCTAACTTTATAACATCTCTACCAGGGTTTCTTTAACGAAAAGCGTGTGTATAAAATATGTTTTCCGTGGACGAGTATTTTATAAAACACACTTCACATTGCTGTTGATGCTAGATTTTGTACGAGCTCGGAGCGAGAAAAGTAGCCATTTTTGGGCTTAGTCTAATGGGTTGCACTGCAGCAAAGCTGGCCAAGAATGGCACAAGTGGTTCTGCATCGGTGGATACGATCAATAACGGAGTTCAACTCTTCAATGACAAGCTGAAGCCACTTGTTGATGGGCTCAATAACCATCTAGCTGATGCCAAATTTATCTATATAAACACTACTAGCATTTCGTTGGAGGACCCTTCAGTTCTTGGTACATTTCCACAACATTCTATCCAAATACTTTACCTTATTTTTGTTTAAATTGTTGTTTTACCACACAAGTACTGATGACTATGGGGTCGAATAATAAAAAAAGTAAAAAGTCGACTCTAAATGCGAACTCTTAGTTTCAATTCTCCTTAATCTTGTTAGGGCGGGCAGGGCAAAATCTTCAGTAATGGAGTTTCTTTGGGGTAAGGGAGGGTTAAGATTTTCAAAAAATCCTATATATGTGGGGTATTACATTTAAAAAGTTTAATGACATATAACATTAATAACTAAATGAAAAATATTAATCACATGGATGAGTGTTATTTTTATAGACAAAGACGATTACTTAGATAAATTTGATTACCAAATAAAGGGAAAAAAATCTACAAAATCGGATTATAAATGTAATTTATATCATGAAAAATACATTGACTCATGACTAACTTTTACGATGATATNGTGAGAAAAGTAGCAAATTTTAAAGTATTTATTTGCTAATGTAAGGGGTAGAACCCTCTACTAAGGATTTCGGCTTGACCTGAATTAACCCACGCGGGCGACCCCACAGTAGCCTTTACCTCTCAGTGCCCGCAGGAGCTACGTCCCATATCGACTGAGAGTCGTCTCCCCCCCTCGCATATAAGCCCTTGCACTCAAAGGAGAAGGTACTCACTAGGCACCTGATCAGGTCGCTAGTGGGTACCTCCTCCTTTGAGTGCAAGAGTTTATATGCGAGGGGGGAGACGACTCTCAGTCGATGTGGGACGTAGCTCCTGCGGGCACTGAGAGGTAAAGGCTACTGGGGGGTCGCCCGCGTGGATTAACCCAGGTCAAGCCGAAATCCTTAGTAGAGGGTTCTACCCCTTACAGCTAAACTATTGTAATTTTCTAACTTTTTAACATCTCTACCAGTGTTTCTTTAACGAAAAGCGTGTGTATAAAATATGTTTTCCGTGGACGAGTATTTTATAAAACACACTTCACATTGCTGTTGATGCTAGATTTTGTACGAGCTCGGAGCGAGAAAAGTAGCCATTTTTGGGCTTAGTCTAATGGGTTGCACTGCAGCAAAGCTGGCCAAGAATGGCACAAGTGGTTCTGCATCGGTGGATACGATCAATAACGGAGTTCAACTCTTCAATGACAAGCTGAAGCCACTTGTTGATGGGCTCAATAACCATCTAGCTGATGCCAAATTTATCTATATAAACACTACTAGCATTTCGTTGGAGGACCCTTCAGTTCTTGGTACATTTCCACAACATTCTATCCAAATACTTTACCTTATTTTTGTTTAAATTGTTGTTTTACCACACAAGTACTGATGACTATGGGGTCGAATAATAAAAAAAGTAAAAAGTCGACTCTAAATGCAAACTCTTAGTTTCAATTCTCCTTAATCTTGTTAGGGCGGGCAGGGCAAAATCTTCAGTAATGGAGTTTCTTTGGGGTAAGGGGGGTTAAGATTTTCAAAACATCCTATATATGTGGGGTATTACATTTAAAAAGTTTAATGACATATAACATTAATAACTAAATGAAAAATATTAATCACATGGATGAGTGTTATTTTTATAGACAAAGACGATTACTTAGATAAATTTGATTACCAAATAAAGGGAAAAAAATCTACAAAATCGGATTATAAATGTAATTTATATCATGAAAAATACATTGACTCATGACTAACTTTTACGATGATATTTTATGAAACTAACATGTATAATGTTATATAATTTGTAATCATTATGTCATGTCTTTTTTTTATTGGAAAGTAAATATTGTATATATAGGAAACACAGAATGTACATATATATGAGGCACAACCTGTGACCAAACACATTAGGCTCAGCCTAGTGAAATAAAAAGGTATACAACATAAACAAGAGGAAACGTTACGTCATGTCAGAAATGAGAAATAAGAGAACCATGATAGTATCCGATATTTAAAAAAAAAAAAGTAGACTTCCATTCTTGTTGTTCATGTATCTATCTTCAAACACAAGACACTGGAGAAAGACTTTATTTATAGTAAAATTTCTTGCGTGCATTGCAGGTAATACAAACCTAAACACTCCATGTTGCCAAGTATCCACAACAATGGCCAAGGGGCTATGTATTCCTGGAGAAATTCCATGCACTAACAGAGCTGAATATGCATGTTGGGACAGTTTTCATCCTTCTGAGAGTGTGAATATGATAATTGCAAGAAGAGCATACAGTGCTCTATTACCATCTGATGCCTATCCAATCGATATTCATCGCTTGGCTCAACTGTGATGATCTTTGTCACATAATCCAAAAAAATGATTATTATAAATAAAAAAGTTTCAGAACTCAGATGTTAAGTTATAGAGTTCAATGATGATACTCAATTTTTGCGTATTGTACTTTTTTTCGTACCAATAAGAATAAGACACGAGTAAAGCTCTTGTATTTCATTATTTCACTTTATTTTATCATTTTCATGCTCAACGGTCGCAAATAAACCGAGGTACGATATATGATCAGAAATGATTTTTGCTATGGTACGAAAAAACATTTTTCAGCACGAGCACCATATTCTAGTAAAATGAGTATGACATTAATAGAAGCTTTTACCGGTTTAAGACTTAAGCACATTGCTCTTTCTAACCCAGAAAAACACTATTTTCTAACCCGAAAAATGTTATCTGTGGACAATAATTACCATTCACATCTGGGCAAGAACTGACTACCTATGAAGCCCAGTATTGGAGAGGAAAATCATTACTAACTGTTCTCCTCAAGCTCAGCCTTGCAGTGACCATTTACTACATTTGGATGGAAAGAAACTGTAGGCTTTAGAGGAATCAGTCCATGAACCAATCCTTGCTTCTCAACCTTATGGTTCAGACTATTAGGGACAGAATTGCAACACTCAAATTCAGATCCTCTTCTAGGAACCTGATTTTAGCCCAATCTTGTCAAATATCTCGTGGATGCTTGATCTATATTGACAAATGACAACCAGACTGCACCCCCTTCAAATATTCAAAGAATGTGTGGAACAGCTCCTTGCAAATTAGTGGACAGGTTTGGAATCGCCCTAGTGATTGCTCGAGTCAACATTTAAAGGAATGATCAAAATTGCTAATTTTTCCATCTCTATCTTGGGCTCATGGCCTTTACTTTCACTGGAATCCTGCATGGATGGTCTCATGCTTCTTTTTTGTGTTTTTTATGCTACAATGGGGCCTGTCCATTGTTTTTTGTAAGGACTCACTCCACTGTCTTGTAAATCATTTTTTTTGGATCAAAACAAACTTTTCATTTCGAAAAAAAAAGGGAAAAAAATGTTATTTATATCTAATGGGAACCTAATTTAAAGATCTAATTAATTNTGTCATTTCGAAAAAAAAAAAGGGAAAAAAATGTTATTTATATCTAATGGGAACCTAATTTGAAGATCNTTTCATTTCGAAAAAAAAAGGGAAAAAAATGTTATTTATATCTAATGGGAACCTAATTTAAAGATCTAATTAATTATAATTGTTGGATTGAAAATAAGCTCCGTCTAACAATGGAACTCACAATTCATTCAATGATTGCATTGAATTAGGTCTCCAAATGATGTCTTTAGAGCATTGCTTTTTCTAACCACAATGAATTACCAAACAGAGAACTTTCTTTGAGTTCCCATTGCCAATGGTGTGCTAAAATCAGAAGCCTAGCCACTACTCTCACCTCCCAGAACCTCTTGTTTTTTATATATATGTCCTTCGCCCAATTTTCCCAAAGTCATGGAGACTTTTGAGACCCATTCCTCCGTAGTTTTGATCACCTTAGACCATGCAACTTTTGCTCCAGTTATTGCCATTTTATTTCCAGTCTAGAGGTAAGACCTCATCAGTTGTTCAAGCCCTTTCAGCTCTCCTTTGGGATCAATTAGGTGACAGAGTCAATAGCTTTGTATATTGTAGATCACTGATTTGATAAGCAGTAGCCTACTAGCATCGAAGAGTGACCGATTAACCCAATATTTGATTTTGGTTTCAACTTGTCAAACAAGGCAGCATAGTCCCTTGCTTTCAGCTTGCTTGATATCTAAAGTATGCTAAAGTATCTTATAGGAGGTTGTGATCCTCACTAACTCCAGCCAAGAGATCTGACTCTTTGCAGAATCAAAGTTCAGTATAGAGAGCTCTTGAAATTTATTAAGTGCAAGTTTTAGTAGTAATGTTGAAGATTTCTGAATTGCTTCAACGCATACTATTGTAGCGCGTGAAGAGGTAAATAAAAGATCCAAAAGATAGGATTAAAATATGACAATTACTCTCACTACAATAAAAATCGTTTTTTGCGACAATTTTTTTCGTCGCTAAATTAAGAAAAATCAATTACTTCAACATAAAATGTTACTCAAAAGACTCTTATAGCCAACTTTTATACTAGGTTAAAACCTAAGGCACAAAAAACAATTGAAAATGAGTGAAGAGAATCAGCTTATATATTAGTTTGAGTACTTATTTTATCGAGGCTGGGACAAGTACTAATAATAAGGTTGATCTTTTCTCTCAGCATTTCACTTAGAAATTAAAAAAAAAATAAAAATAAAAAAGCACTGAAAAAGCTAACGATGCATGTAACAGCCTAGCAAGAATGTGGGAAGAAGAGAGAACAGATAAACCAACAAATAGCATGAAAGTAGTTTTATGACTTCATTGTATCACAATGCGAATACGACAAAAAAGCATAGAAATTCTCTACTAACAATTTTTGGAGTCTAATGCCAATACATGAAGCAACAATAAATGTTATGATAAGAGTATCAAGCCCCCTCTAGATGCTTGAAGTTTATCTCCACTTCTCAGTTTTTGTTGTAAAGCTAAACTTTCACCTGGTAATTGAGATTAGACCNAACAATAAATGTTATGATAAGAGTATCAAGCCCCCTCTAGATGCTTGAAGTTTATCTTCACTTCTCAGTTTTTGTTGTAAAGCTAAACTTTCACCTGGTAATTGAGATTAGACCTTCTCCACAAGAACTGAGAACAGGTGAAATCACAGGCCCTTCACACATATTAACTGCACATAAAATGGAAAGGAAGTATCAGGAGAATGTTTCTTGGTACCCTCTTAGGATCAATCAAATATGGCTGCAATATTGTTCATAATACTATACAAACCGGAGGTTTTAATTTGCATACATCTGTGTCAAAAGTAATTCTATATTTACATGTAGAAAGAAAAGAGAGTTAGTTTGTGAAAATGAAACAATTTTAGTTGGTTTTACTAGTAATTGTAGGTAAAGGGATCTAGCTATTGATTTAGGTATCGTTTCATGACGCTTTGCTAAGTGGTTTTTTGTTCTTTTAATTTTTTTTTTTAGATATTTTTGGTAACACTTGTTTTTTTATTCTTGCTTCTCCCAGCATATTCCTATATTTAATTAACATATATTTTGATTGATCCCTTCCGCTTTCACTTAATCTTATGTATCGTATTACACGTGCGCACATATGCAAAGTTATCTTTTATTTCTCAAGTTGCATATAAATTATTTTTACAATCCAATAAAAAAAAATTATTTTTTGACGAAATTATGTTTCTACTTAAAAAATTACTGCCAAAAAAGTAAACAATTGGAGCAAGTTTGCATGGAACAACTGATGTTTTTCATTGGATAATATCCAATGGAATCAAGAAGAAACAAGTTTGAAAAACTGAATTGCTTGTGGTCCTCAAAATGACATTAGTCAGTTGGAGTGTAAGGTCTTTCACAGATCCAAGATATTCAAGTCCATAAGTGCTTAAAATTATTGGGCAATGAAGAATGCATATGAATTATGAATGAATGTAGCATGCATTGAGAAATATGTTGTTTTGTGGTGGTGGATGATACAAGAGATATTCTTACACCAACTGAAGGGATGTGTGGTCTTGTCGGGAGTAATGATCGTTCAATTGCAGCCCATTAATTTGGAGGTAGTTTCGAGCCTCAAATGGTTGTGGTGGCAGGAGTTCATAGTCTGAATTTCCAGGCATCAAGGTCATCTGCTGCTGGGCTCTCTCATTCTCAGCTATCTAAATACCTCAAAAACAGAAACCATATACAATCACAAAATGAATGTATGTTTGTGTTCCACTTAAATTCGCAATTAGTAATATACCAAGAAGTGAAATAGAGTACTGTATTAGAGGGTATCTCACTACCATACACCCATACACATGAGACGCACAGAGAAAGAGAGAGAGAGAGACCTTGGCTCGGAGGTACTGATTGTTGTTGTGCAAGTCTACTTCCTGTAGTGCATCAGTTGGTTTAAGATAAAAATAAAAGCACTATCAGATATTAGAAAGAAAAACAAAAAATTTATAGCGCAGTTAATGTAGTGTACAACATTTGAGAGCAGATTGTTTGGAGCATGTGAAGAAATATGCTTGACATAGAATCCTAGGATAAAGATGAAGAATACTGACAAAATTAAGCAAGACTACAATTTTTTTTTAATTAAACCTTGACAGTGCAAGGGTAAAATTTTATTAATATAAAAAAGAAATTACATCTAGAGAGGGGGGGGGGGAACGTAATGAGCCTTACCTCTCATATGCATTCTAGGCTACAGCATTAAAAACTATAGTCTACAAATGCTTACCCTCTTCTGCATAAATTCAACTTCAGCAAACAGCAGTTCATTCTGCAATAGTATGAGGAGAGAAATGTTAGATGAAATTGATGAGATTGTGACAAAACAAGATAGGAATTCTATGTGACAATTGATAAGGAATATTCAAGACTGTATCATATAAAATTAAAGACTAGTACTTTTTTGGATCGGATTTTGCTAATGCCTCTCTCTAAACGACTCTCCAGGTTCTTGAGGTCCCTCACACTCAAAGACCCAAGAGACTCACCCAGCATATTCCTGTAAATAACTTTTGTAAGAATTCTTTCAAAAATTTCTTCAAACCAGAAAATTTTTTTTACTATAAGATTGACAAATACATCTTTAAATTACCTGTTTGAGTTCTGCAAATTCCCTATTTGTGCACGCAATTTCGAGGCTTCTTGCTGATAGAACTGAAATAATTTTCGAACGAAGACTTGTGTTAGAGTACTGGTACCAGGCCTTTGTATCATCCAGCAAGGGCTATACTTCCAACCTCAAAACACATAGTATTACAATCATCTCCATAAAAGAAGTTCCTAGTATTTATTTATTTTTGTTCGTGAATACATCATCTGTGAATTCAAGGCATGTACATAGCTTGCTTCACATGGATTTTGGTACTAGAGCACATAAATCAATTTCAAAATCTCAGACTATATAAGCCAAACGACAGTACATCTATATTTTGGTCAGTTATTCTTCCGGAAAGTAAAAGTTGTACTGAAATGAAGATTCAACAATGGACAAAGGAGGGCTTGCCCTTCCAAAAAACATGGAGCACACCATACAGTGGCTTTGTATAGAGAAAACTGGACTAATAGCTGAGGGAAATTTAGGTGGAAGTAAAGGCCCTATGCCAATACTTCCAACCCATGACGGACCCCTGTTCCCTTGATTGGTAGATGAAGCACGGGACGTTGCTAGTCAATTCTTTAGATTCAGCCTTGTTAGTTGGTTAGATTGGTCTCAGAAAGCCCTCCTCTCATTACAGGGAAAATAAGTGGGAGTAAAGACCTTGAGCCCATACTTCCAACCAAATACCCCTCCATTTACCACAGTCCTTTGCATCAAGTAGCATATAATAGCATATCAGATTAGCAATTATAGCAAAAACATAGTAGCACAACAGAGAAACATGTCAAAAGAACAACAGGAGGCTTCCACTTAGTTCCTTGGTTCATGGAGGCAACTGTTTGGCAGCTGCCATGCTTGAATTTTAGAGAAGCAGTTCTGTCTCTTTTGTTCTGGAGGATGGATTGCAACAGTAGTCTATGGTCGTCACAGGATTTGTTTTGGTGGGCTCTAGAATTTATTTATTTCCAAATTTGTTACACAGTCACTTAGAGGTTGAGCTTCTGTAAGATTCTAAGCATTGATTTGCCCATCCATCTACCTACAACATGTTCCTGTACTTGCTGCCAAGAGCAATGTTGCCAATGCTCTCCATTAGGCTGCATTAAGTGGAACCAAAAAATGTGGGAGTATTGACATTCAAAGAATAAGTGTTGGTGTGATTCATTGGCACGTCTGTAGAGTAAGCCCCCCAATCCCTANGCCAATGCTCTCCATTAGGCTGCATTAAGTGGAACCAAAAAATGTGGGAGTATTGACATTCAAAAAATAAGTGTTGGTGTGATTCATTGGCACGTCTGTAGAGTAAGCCCCCCAATCCCTACTGGGGAGCATAGTGGTGGATCCTATCCTTAGTGCTAAGCCTTTTTCTTAAGGCCACCCAAAGTATAAAACTCATATTGGGTATGGCTTGAGCAAGCCATAATATGTGATACCATAGGGCACTAGGGGTCTACTCTCTTATCTGGTTCCAAGCAGATGTAGAGGTGAAGATTCCACTAGGGGAAGCAGACCATTTGATCACTTCTTCTCTGTGCAGATTTGGGGAGTATCTGGGAATGGTGTTGTTGATTTCCACTAGTTTTAGGGAGCAAATAGCAGACCGTTGTCATTGGTCATGATTCACTATGCTGGACACTTTGGCATCCTTTTAAAAGTTCAGAAACTCCAATGATGTTGCTACTCCACCTAATTAATAATGGCTTCTGTGGGTGCCAATTACCCTACCAGAGCTTGGTCTCACCATTTCCTATGACATGAACAATAAAAAGGTCTAACAGTTTCCCTGAGCCTCAACATGCTAAGCCAATTCCAAGAGGACTTTTGGCGTGCCTTGAAGACTAACAGTTTCCGATTGTTTTCTCTTGAAAAGACTAACAATGCTAGAAGAAGCCTCTTTTATTGGTTCATTTTATTCTCCTCCCCCCCACCCCAAAACAAACAAAAAAAAATGGGGACTATGGAAGAAAGTAATTGAGAGGAACTAGAACTAGAAACCACTACTTTTTTCCCTTCCACAAATCTCGAAATGTAAATAATTTTGTTAGACTGAAAAAATAGCTATTACGATGTAGCTCCAAAACAACTAAAAGAACACATTGTAGAATGCACATAAAGGTAGGCTGCTCAATGCAGAGAACAAACACCTAGTCTATAAGTAACCAACCCAATAGACTAAGTTACCAAAAATACCATTCCATGGAGCATTGACTATTTTATGGTTACAAATAGAAANTGTAAATAATTTTGTTAGACTGAAAAAATAGCTATTACGATGTAGCTCCAAAACAACTAAAAGAACACATTGTAGTATGCACATAAAGGTAGGCTGCTCAATGCAGAGAACAAACACCTAGTCTATAAGTAACCAACCCAATAGACTAGGTTACCAAAAATACCATTCCATGGAGCATTGACTATTTTATGGTTACAAATAGAAATATTAACTCCATATTAGCTCATTAATTTCTATAAAATAATTATTTTCATCAATACATAGTAAGATGGAGTTCTAGATATCCATACCTGAGCATTTGTTTCGGAAACAGACCCGGTATTGGAGGAATTGGAGCATGCCTTCTTGTACCTGTCAATCGTTGCTTTAACACTGCAATCAAAAGCATTGATTAGATGGAAAGAGCCATGCAATGTAAATCCTTCCAAATGGAGCATATAACTACCATGTTCATACCTCAGCAAAATAATACATGACTTAAATCTTCATTAAATTTTTTTGAAGCGTTTATAACAAATGTATAAATAACAAACAAGAATACAAAGTAGTTATAAATTTCCACTTAGTTAATAAAATTCCTTCTGAATAATGATTGGATTGAATAACTGAATATTTTTTGACTCGTAGATTGTCTGTAAGAAAGTTGGAGCAGTTTATTGAGTGTACCAAAGGGTAAAATTTTTACTTAAACTCATACATTTCATACAACTTATGACCTCAAATAACAAGGTCTGTTTGTTTTTAACAGCAACAATTTTTTTGATGCTCAATCCAATTATAGGGACTGATATAAATTCTTAAAACTAAAACAAGAACAATCAACATGTACCACGATAGAGAAATGGGGTAAATAATGTGTTTTAATTTATTGGAAAGTTCTTAGTGATCCGATCTTAGATAGCTTTGAAAGAATCAAACACATGAGAGTTCAATGAATTCAAACATAAGCAACTCCCACCACTTTAGGTTTAGGAAGAGTTAGATGCATACAGTCTTACCCTTGTATATAGAGAAACTACTTTCACAACTCAAACCCTCGACACTTAATCATAGCAGAGCTACCTTACCGGTGCGCTAAAACCTACCTAAACAACGAACATATGGGTATAAACTCCAAATTCTTAGGCGAATATAAGGTTATCTTCAACTGCACCTTTAATTTTGGAAAGTAAGTAGGTAATCTTGTATGAGGGATGAACAAATCATAATCGGAGGTGGTTTGAGAAACTATAAAATAAGTATTTGATTGTCACATATGCAATAATGCATAGGAGATTGACAACCACAACAATGGAAAATATCCTTTTGTTTTAGAAGAACTGTCATCCCTTTGTTTCCTTTTCATTTTCTTTCTCTTTTTTTGTGGGGTATTTTGTATTGTGATTTTCTTGATGTATAGTTTTTGATTATAGAATCTAATCTTACTCACCACAAAACAATGGAAGATATTGCAACAACTCCTAAAGAGTATAGAAGAAAAACTTAATTTGGTGGGCAGATTTAACATTTTTGGTACTCAGTCATGGGTACTGCAACTCAATTCATGCTGAGGGATGCACTTAACAGCTTCCATGAATTATCAAGGTTACACGCCAGCCCTTCCAAGAGCAATCTTTTATGGTTTTGGTTCCTGAGGATGAAGTTGATCATCAAATGACTGTCTCGATCCTATAAAAAACTTGACAATTCCCTTCGTAACAATGCAGTTCTCTGATTGAGAAATTGAGGCTAGGGTGAGGAGCTGGACCAATAGATTTCAGTCATTTGCTAGTAGGCTACAATTAATTGACTCGGTTTTGTTTAGCATAGTTACTTTTTGGGCTTCCAATATGTCGTGGGTGTCTTGCATTCTAGTCTTAATAGGAAACTGATTTGAACTTTGTTCTCTTTAAGAATTTAGAAAGGTAGATGTCTTAGAATTTCATTTCAATTAGAAAGGTAGATGTCTTCGAATTTCATTTCAAGTAAAAGACCAATTAGAAACCCTATTGTATTAAGAGACAAAGTATTTTGGGTCAATAAATAGATTATAGACCACTCAATTTGTTTTGGAGTTTTTGGCCCCCAATTTTGGACATCCATGTTTGGTTTTATTCTCTAGATTAGAGAATTTTGTGTAATCTCCCTTTGTTGATAGTGAAACTTTGCTACTGGGTTTCACCCGTGGAGTAAGCTTTTAAGTCCATGCACGTAAATTTATATTTTATTTTTCTATTTCGTTATGTTATTATTTTACTTGTGATTTTGGTTCATAACAAATTGGTATCAGAGTTATTGGTTTCGAGATGGCTACAATAAAATTCGAGATAGAAAAATTTGGTGATCAAAACAATTTCAGTCTACAGCAGATCCAGATACGTGACGTTACTATGACGAATCTTTTCACAAAAGTTTTTTATGAGATACTATGATCAACACTGATTGAGATTCAATAGATTTGTTATTGTGGAGGAAGCCGTTGGAAAATTCACTTTTGGTTTGATGACTTGGTGGATATACAAGTCAAGGTGGATATTTTTTATTGATACTTGTGATATTTGTATTCCCTCATGGGATTTGTGGAGAAGACAGCTAGTTCGTTCGCATTTGTTTTGATTGCTTGATGGAATACAAGTCAATGTGGAGATTTGTTGTGGGTGTCTTGTATTCCAATCCTAATAGGAAACTGATTTGAACTTTGTTCTCTTTAAGGATTTAGAAAGGTAGATGTCATAGAATTTCACTTCAAATAAAAGACCAATTATAAACCCTATTGTATTATGAGACAGAGTATTTTGGGTCAATAAATAGATTATAGATCATTCAGTTTCTTTTAAGGTTTTTGGCCCTAGTTTTGGGCATCCATGTTTGGTTTTGTTTTGTGGGTTAGAGAATTTTGTGTAATCTCCCTTTGTTGATAGTAAAACTTTGTTGTTGCATTTCACCCGTGGAGTAAGCTTTTAAGTCGATTCACGTAAATTTATGTTCTATTTTTCTATTTCGTTGTGTTATTATTTTACTTGTAGTTTTGGTTCATAACACAATATGTATATCCCTCAACAAATAATTGATCAAAGTGGAAAGAACCAAGAGATCTTTTCTATGTCATGGGATTTAGTTAAAAACAACTATAGCTAAGGTGGCTTGTAAGATGTATGCAAGCCTAGGAAAGAAGGTGGATTAAGCATAAAGAAGATAACAGATTATGATTCAATGTTTATGATCACGTAGCAATGGCTGCTATTTACCAAAAAGTTGGATCTTTAGTCTAGATGGATTTATGCTTACTAGCTTGTTTGTTTTCGTCTTTTTTTTTTTTTTGCGGGGGGGGAAGCCTTTTGGGGTTAAACCACCCCCAAAATGTTCATGGAATTGACTTAACCTATTGAAGTTGAGGGGCTTTATAAAAGCTCTTATGGTTCATATTATAGGAAATGAGGAGGGTGCTCATTTATGGTATGATAGTTGTTAAAATATAGGCTAATTAATATACAAGTTTGATTCAAATTTGACTCAAAAGCTTAAGCTCAAGCTCGTTGTGGTTTGTTTCAATCTTTGTATATTAAGCCTTCTTTTTCCATTGCCCAATTCATATGGGATGGCTTTTATCGTTCTAGCACGTAGGTTCCAATAATAGAAGGCACGCACAAGAATGTAGTGTTGGGATTTAATGTGCTTTAAACCTATAGACAAACACACACAATCGAAGAATAAACCAAAAATATGAAGCAATGAGAAACAAGAAAGAACAAGACACACAGATTTTATGTGGTTCGACAATTTGCCTACGTCCACGAAACTACACGGATTTCACTATTGAGGGGGAGGAATACACAGGGTGGCTATACAATACAAATCAAACCCTAATTACCAAAATAACATATTTATATGTTCTACGCATCGGACTACAAAACAGGCCCAAAAAAAAAATTTCCCAGGGCCTAAGTCTTTTCTCCTTGCACTAAGTCTCAGAAAATTTTTCATTAAAAACCATGCAACATTATTTCAGATCCGGTCATCATCCGGATCAATGCAAAACTAGACTCCACAAAAAAATCAACATGTTGGATGGCTTTACTCTTAAGGTGGACCAATGGCATAATTGAGGATTATCATCCGCCAAAAGAAAGCAAAGTTAGTTGCATTGTGAATAACACTCAATGGTAGTTTCTTTTCTACCTCTACTTGGAACTAGTTTATAATCCACTCACCAGCTATTTCATGGAACCATTTGATCTGTTTATGGTTGTTAGAGATATAGCAGCCTAGTTTATTAGGGTTTATTAAGTTTTTCCCTTTTTACCTTTTTATCCTTATTGTAACTTTCATTAGTTATATATATGAGGAGCTCTACACTTAGTTTATATCTCATTCACTCATAAATATTTCTAGTTGGATTCAGAGCCACAACCCTAACTCTAATTCTAACCCTAGCCTCAACTCCATTGACTGCCTCCGACAGCAATCTTACCTGGCCATTAAACGTCAACCTCAATAACGCCACCGACTGACCCGCATACTACCTCCGCTGCGTCATCCACAGCCCATAACCAGTGCCCCTCATCGACAAATCAACCCATTGCCCAATTCTACTCCATCGCCGATCACTGCACCACGCTACAGCCACTGCCCAGTAAAACTAGCGACAACCCAGCAAAGCCCACTATTCCAGAAAAAAAAAAAAAAAGGGCACCGACTGCACCCACTATCAGACCAACTTCCAAGCCCTCATCAAACTCCACCGAAATCGACATACCAGACCACCAACAAACTAGCATATATTTACAAGATTCCACCCCTTCACCGACCCAGCAAGCCCACTCTATCGAAGCAACAGCCTTCTATAAACAACAGCAAAAAACCAACAAAGCAGCCAAATGACATATACCCCCGACCAAAAAAAAAAAAAAGTGACCCAACAACCATATCAGCCAACCCAGCGGCCTACACACTGTTCCAGTCCAGCCCCAAACCCAAAACAGTACCCACACCAGCAAACAAGCCCACTGCTGGGTCGCACTCTTCGTCACCGCATTGTGTTTTGCCTTCGTGTGTCTGATTATTTAGGACCGTAGGACCTTTTAAGAAAGGTTGAATCCTCTTCTCCGTTGATATACTCTTGATGCAGTAGATCATTTTTTTATATTTATTGGATTTCTGGGCATCATGATGTGATTATTTGGGAGTTTTTTAGACCTTCTTTATTTGTCGCTACTATTCAACTAGAGGTATATTGTTCCTCCTTATTTTATCCCTCTATTTATCTTAGATTTTTTTCCTGTCACGGGTGCCCTAGTATTGTTGTTGATATAGCTACTACTAATGGACTTGAGACCCCTACCATTGACACTTCTACCGTTGAGACATCTATTGTTATTTCCACTTGTTGGAGATATAACAACAGCCTAGTTTATTAGGGCTTATTAAGTTTTCTCTTTTTACCTTCTTATCCTTATTGTAACTTTCATTGGCTATATATATGCAGGACTCTACACTTAGTTTGTATCCCTTTAATTCATACATATTCCTCTTCTTGGTATCAGAGCCAAACCCTAACCCTAACCTCCATCATAATCAATCCACAGCTACAACCACCTAGCTGCCACCACCACTACTCACCGACAGCAACCCAGCCACCGCCACAGCCAGCCACCTTGCTGCCTTACTGCCCAGCCCTGCATCCAAAAACAGCAAAACCATCTCCATAAACCCAGTAACTACGACAAGCAAGGCAGCGACCAAGACCCAATAGCCCACTGCCCACCCACTAACCACCGACTGCAACATATTCCACCAGTCAAAATCCAACAACCGACTGACCAACAATACTGCCACCACCGATTGCAACATGCAACATATAACCCAAAACTCCAACACCCGGCCACTACCAGCCAAGATCCCACTGCCAGCCAGCATATACCCATAAAACAAACGACCCATATACCAATGACCCACTGCCGATACTCCACAAACAAAACCCAAAAATAAACCAGCAACCCACTACCCAACAAAACCCAGCAACACCGACTGACCCAAAAACAAACCCGCGACCCACTGCCCAATCCAACGAACCAGCCTACTGTTGGGACGTATTCTTCGTCACAACTTCTTGTTTTGTCTTCGTACACTTGATTATTTGGGATTGTAGGACCTTTTAAGAGGGGTTGAATCCTCATCTCTGTTGATATGCTTTTGATACAGTAGATTATTTATTTATATATTTTAGATTTCTGGGTACCGTGACTTGATTATTTGGGAGCTTTTTGGACCTTCTTTATTTGTCGCTACTGTTCAACTGAAGGTATATTGTTCTCCCTTATTTTATTTCTCTATTTATTTTAGAGTTGTTTTTCTGTCACGGGTGCCCTAGTATTGTTGTTGATATGCCTACTACTAAGGGAGTTGAGACCCCTACCGTTGAGACATTTGTTAGTACTTCCACCGGGTATAGAGGTCAACAGTGCTCGGCCCAGTGCCGTCAGGGTACCCCACATCAGCATAGATATGGGGATTTTCGTCAATGTGATTATTGTCGCCGACTAGGACATCTCAGGACTACTTGTTGGAAGCTCCATCCGGAGCTTAAGTCGCCTTCTCGTAGCCGTACTACTGTCATTGGTAAAGCACCACCACCTACAGTCATTGCTCCTGCTACTACTGCTACTGCTACTGCTTCTCCTTGGAAGAGTGATATGGATGCTATCACTTCTCGCTTGGATATACTTATGTCAGCCTTGACTTCTCTAGGTCCGACTACTACTGCTGCGACTACTACAGGTATACCTCGTACCTTACATACTTGCGCCAGTCCGTCCCCCCTTTGGATGCTGGACTCGGGTGCTAATGGTCATATGACAGGTGAGGTCCATCATTTCACCTCTTTTGACGAGAAGTTACATACTCAAGTTCAGTTAGCAGATGGTACACATGCCCCTATTATTAGTAGGGGTACAGTCAGTCTCCCAGATGATTTTACATTACGTTCGGTGTTTCATGCGCCAAAGTTGGCCATGAATCTACTATCTGTACATCAGTTAGCCAGAGATTTTCACTGTGCAGTTGTATTCTTATCTGATTCGTGTTATTTGTAGGACCTGAGTACCAGGAGGATTATTATCAGGGGACATGAGAGAGGTGGACTGTATTATTTAAGAGATCCACCTCTGATTTCACCAGTTTCTCCACCTCCACCTCCACCTCCACTTTCATCACCTACTTTGTCTTTATCTGTTCCTAGCTTGCATGCTAGTATTTTACCTAATACTTGTCGTTATGATTTTTCGTCACAAACTGTTCAGTTATGGCATAACCGTTTTGGGCATACAAATTTTAAATATTTATGTATGTTGTTTCCTGCTTTGAGTAAAGCTTGTGTTATTGGCAAAATTGACTACTGTTCGGTTGATTATTTCTCTAGCTACAGAGTATTCTTGGTCTCTTCATCAATTAGATGTGAAGAATACATTTCTTCACGGTGATCTGAACGAGATTATTTATATGGACGCACCATCAGGCTTTCGTGGTGGGGGAGAGTATGCTGGAAAGGTATGTCGACTGCGTAAGTCTCTTTATAGACTGAAACAGTCACCACGAGCATGATTCTCTCGCTTTAGTGATGTAGTCGTACGTTTGGGGTTCACCAGATGTCATTCTGATCATACCTGCTTTATTCAACGGAATACTTATAGACAGTGTGTTATCCTTTTGGTATATGTTGACGATATTATTATTACTGGGGATGATATTTCTAGGACTGCGCAGGTCAAGGTAAACCTTGGAAAGGTCTTCGATGTAAAGGACCTTGGATTTCTGCAATACTTTCTTGGGATTGAGGTTGCCCGTAGCAGCACAGGTGTTGTTCTTTCTCAGAGAAAGTATGTTTTGGATCTTCTTTCAGATACTGGAATGCTAGGGTGCAATCCGACATCATCACCCATGATTCCAAACTTGAAGTTGACTGCTGAAGGTGAGGAGTTGAGAGATCCGACTGTCTATCAGAGGTTGGTAGGTAGACTTATCTACCTAGCTAACACTAAGCCAGATATTTTATTTGCTGTTAGTCGAGTTAGTTAGTTCATGCATAGGCCGTGTCAGCCTCATCTTGATGCAATTTATCATATTCTTCGATACCTCAAGTATTATCCTGGACTTGGGTTGTTCTATGCATCAGGATCTCAGACTGATTCTCTAGCATGTTATTCAGATTCAGATTATGGGGGAGTATGTGATGGTCGATCTACTACGACTTTTGTGCTTTTCGAGGGACTCATCTTATCTCTTGGAAGAGCAAGAAGCAGTCAGTTGTCTTTCGCTCATCAGCAGAGGCAGAGTATCGGGCACAAGCACTTGGCACATGTGAGATTATCTGACTACGATCGATTCTTGGCGAGTTGGGATTTTTAGTAACTTCTTCATCTACATTATATTGTGATAATCGATCTGCTATTTAGCTCGCTTCTAACTCTGTATTACACGAGAGGACAAAGCATATAGAGATCGATGTTCACATTCTTCGAGAGAAGGTTAGTAGTGGTATTGTCACTCCATCGTTCGTGGGGACCAGTGATCAAGTTGCAGATATTTTCACCAAACCTGTCACTCTATCCATTCTTCGGGACTCCATTGTCAAGCTTGGCTTAGTTGATATTTTCGTGCCTAGCTTGAAGGAGAGTGTTGGAGATATAACAACAGCCTAGTTTATTAGGGCTTATTAAATTTTCTCTTTTTACCTTCTTATCCTTATTGTAACTTTCATTGGCTATATATATACGGGGCTCTACACTTAGTTTGTATTCCTTTAACTCATACATATTCCTCTTCTCCACTTTTATGTTTGACCAATATACAGTACCTACTGATACAGTTACATTACCAGCACTGTCGGACATAATCTCTCAGAAAGTTACGGCACAGTTGTTGAATGGCAGTAACTTTGCTGAGTGGTCTCGCTCATTCCAGCTTTTCTTAGGCTGTGTAGGGAAACTTGGTTGACTGACGGGATCTCACCCAAAGCCAACTGATCTGACCCTGGATATTCAGCGTGGTTTTTTGAGAACTGCGCCATTCTTGGATGGTTATTTGGCTCGATGGAGCCATCTGTTTGCAGGATTCACTAGTTTCATAGCTCTATTCCGAAGCTATGGAGTACATTATCATAAATGTGTTCTCAATCAGGTCGGGGAGTACATGTTTATGAGCTTTCTCAGGAGTTCTCATATGCTCGACAGGGAGATATGACTGTTTAGGATTATTATGGCTATTTGACCCAGCACTAGCTTGAGTAAGAGACTCTACATCCTCTTGTCGTTATTTCGAGGATAGAGCCCGAGGGAGTAACATTTTTGCATACTCGAGAGTAGGAGGATAGGATTCACAAGTTCTTTATGGGATTTCGTGATGAGTTTGAAGGACCTCGTTCCCAGATCTTATCGTTGTTAACGCTTCTTTCTCTTTATGAGGTGTATGCGATGATTAAGCAGCATGAGTGTCGTGTCCGTATTGCATCACTTCTAGTTGCGGTCTTAACTCCTCCGGCTGATCAAATGACCCATGCAGCTACTGTAGGGTCTCGTTCAGGATTCTCAGTCAGGGGTGGGCAGCGCTCAGACCAGCGCCGTCAAGGTATCCCAGATCAGAGCAGACTGGGGGATTCTCGTCAGTGTGATTATTGTGGCCGACCAAGACATCTCAGGGCTGCTTGCTGGAAGCTCCATCTAGGGCTTAAGTCGCCTCCTCGCGGCCATACTGCTGCTAT